AGGTTTTCACTATATAGTTCATGCCGGCTTTGAACCTACCAGGTAGTCCAGGGTGTCCTTGAACTCTCAGAATCCTCCTGCCTCAGCATTCGGAGTATGAGTGCTGATTCCAGGCATGGGCCACTATACTTAGCTTCTTCATCTCAACTAAAGTAACTTTATTTCAACTGTACTCTCTCTGTTCCCTTCTCTTTCTCACCATACTCACTCATTATGAGGCAAAAAGCCTTTTATATACCTTAAAAACTTTATAACTCAAATAATTCACATGACAAATTCTATTAGGTATGTTTTATTGTCTCAGTTTTACAGGTGACAACACATGAGCCTGTAAGTCATGTGTTAAATTAGAGTCTGAAACTCAACTACCTCTCATCAGCACAATGAACATAATATTTGCAACTTAAAATACTTCTATTTAACATTATTTCATAAATTATCAATATAAAGCTTACAATCTCTTCTATTTACAAAACACAAGTAGGGGGCTTGACCATTGGCTCAGTTGTTTAAGTGACTGCTTAAACAAAGCAATGAGGATGCTGTGGTTCAGATCCCCAGATCCTCAAGTCTTACCAGACCTGCCCTGAAGGCATTCCTGAGCCAGCCAAAAACAAAACAAATCAGGATGCTGTGGTTTGATTCCCCACACCTGCCCTGAAAGCATTCCTGAGCCAGAAAAAAAACAAAAAAACAAAAACCCACAAGTTTCAGGGGCCTGGGAGATAGCTCAATAGAATAAGCGCTTGACTGGCAAGTACAGAGTCCTGAGTTCAATTCCCGATACCGTTTAAAAAAAAGGTTAACAACTTAGTATTACTAAATGTGAATATTTACAATATTGTTACTTTTCTTTCCCCAGTTGAGCTACATCTCCAGCCCTTTTCTTATTTTTATATAAGGTTTCACCAAGTGTTCCAGGCTAAGTTCAAACTTGTGATCTTACCTTAGCAGTACTGGGATTACAGTTAATTCATCACTGTACTTATTTTAATGTATTTCAAATTATCTGGAATTTCTTTAGATTTACAGTATAAAGAACTAATTTTTTAAAAACCCCACAAAACAGACATTGTAGTACCATTTAATAAATGTTCCCCTAAATGATATGAGACAACTTCATTCAATAAACTCAAATCCTGTACATAACTGGCTTTTTTTTTTTTTTGTGGGGAGAGGGGACTACTTTTCTACTCACATATTATACTCTTCTGCTAGATATAGTAACGATCTCACTATTACAGGCTTAAGTCTAGCCTGACACATTTCTATTTGTTCTTCCAGATGACTTTGGCATTTGTCAAATTCTAAAATTTTCGCTGGGTGTGGTGGTACACACTTGTAACTAACAGACGCACTTGGGAGTCTGAGGCGCACTTGGGAATCTGAGGCAGGAGGATCACCGGAGATAAGACTAGCCTGCGCTATACAGTGAGTTCAAGTCTAGCCTGAACTGCATAATTCGACCCTGTCTCAGAAAACAAAACAAAAACTGTTAGTTATTTTCTTCAGTACATGGCCTATAAATTAGGTTTGGAAGAATTTACCTTTAGATTTAGTATTTCCATCCAAGAAAAATTTCCCCCTTTAGCCAACCAAGTCTACTCTCTCAAACTGATTAAAAACAAAAACAAAAACAAATAAATAGATCTTCAAGGATCTCCTATTTGCTCAAATAAGACTGAATCTTTGTTCAATTAGTAACATTAGCCCCTACAATGTTTATTTACTAGACCTCTTTAAAATTCAATGTAGCAGGGGCCGGGGAGATGGCTCAGTGGAATAAGCGCTTCCCTGGCAAGCACAAGGGTCTGAGTTCAATCCCCGGTTCCAAAAAAAAAAAAAAAAAAAAAAAAAAAATTCAATGTAGCTTTTTAAAACTCAGTGAAGGTTCTGCTCGCTTTGGAAGCACATATACTAAAACTGGAACAATACAGAGAAGATAAGCATGGCCCTTATGCAAGGATGATACACAAATTTTTGAAATAAAACTCAGTGAGGAAGTCCTCAGTCTCACATCTTAGGCAAAGAAAAATCAGCTGGGCGTGGGGGTGCATTCCTGTAATCCAGAACTTGGGAAACTAAAGCAAGAGTATCACCTCACACCAGCAGACATAGGCTACATAGTGAGTTCAAGGTCAGCCCACACTACACAGCAAGATCCTGTCTCAAAAGGCAAAAAAAAAAAAAAAAAAAAAAAAAAAAAAAAAAAAACCCACTCAGGTTTTTATCAACTAGTCTCCCACTGATACTGCTATCCTCTATTATGAAACTTTCACTGATCTGCCATCTACCTTTTATTTCCTGAACAGTACACAGGAAATAAGGATAAATAGCTAATTCAGCATACAGACACTCCTTAAAACAACTATATAATCTTGTCAAAAGTTTAATCTGAAACTGTAAAATATCATGCTGTAACTATTCTCCCATGTTTAATGTGGTTAAGTACTTCCAAAAACTAAACTACCATTCTTCATATATACCTTTAACACATTAGGAACTATGCTAAATACGTATTTGCTGACAAAACAGTTCTATTCCAAATATATCTCAAGATTTTAAATGTCAGGATCACAAATCTAAAATTTTCTTGGTAAAAGTTGTTTGTTTTTTTCAACAATACAAGTCTTTTGTTTAAGAAAAAAAAAAAAAAAAGTAAGTTCCACTAAGCCCTGCAGACCCACAGCTACTTGGAAAAGAACTAAAAACTATGTTATTAAATTCTTAAAGAGTCAACTGTTTTGGAGCCATTTCACTTCTACTTAAAGCAAATAGCCTAAACTCCAATGTCAACCTATAATACTGGCATTGGAGCACTTTAGTCTCTTTTAAAAATGTACTTGGTTGTTGTAGGGTCTCACTATGCAGATGGGACTCATGGTGATCCTCCTGCTTTCAGACTCACCAGTGCTGGGATTACAGGCATGCACCCCTATGCCTGGACTCTGGCCAGCTCAGCCCACTCTGGGGGTGGGGCTTGTACAGCATGCGGTAACAGGATTGAACCCACAGTACCTATGCTTACCTAAGCAGGCACTTCAGTCCGCTGAGCTATCTAGCCAGTCCCGAGCACTTTACTCTTATAAAATTATAACCCTCCTAAACCAAACTCAAATTCCCAACACTTAACTAAAAACCTAGAATACTATCTTTGTTATCAACCTTCACATCTAACTGGTCACCAAGCCCTATGCAACTGATCTCCTAACTCTTGAACTTGTTCCCACTACTACTTCTGAAGTTTCTATTGCAATGAACTTTTAAGAAGACTCTCCTTCCGCCCAGGGCCACCAGATCCTCATTTCACCCAGAGCCCAGGTCTGGCATGTGACTGAGACCACCTAGGGCCCACTGGGTCCTTATTCGACCCAGGTCCAGTATCTGAGTGGGACCGCCCTAGGCCCAGCAGATCCTGATTCAACCCAGGCCTGACATGTGAGTGGTACTGCCTGGAGCCCGCAGGTTCCTCATTTAACCCAGACCACAGGCCCACTGTGTGAGCAAGACCACTCAGGGTCTGCTGGATCCTGATTTGACCCAGGCCCAGCACGTGAGTGGGACCGCCCAGAGCCCAGGCCCAGCGTGGAACCCTGCAGCAGAACTCCCTGCAAAGAGGCTAGAGGCAAGACCCACCCAGGTGATCCAGGAGCAGAACACCTTGCCAGAGTGGCACAGAGGGTTCATCTCCAAGGGCTACAGCAGGAAGAAGTGGAGCACAGCAACCAGACCCACACCACACCCACCTGGATGAGTTTGAACTTGATAGATCTGTACCTGGTGCTAAGGTAATAAATAACTCTAAGCTCTATACCAAAGGTCAGAAGCCAGTGCTATACAAAATGACAAAGGGAAGAAGCAAAATGCATTCTCAGGCCCCAAGACACTAGCATAGAAGAAATTGGAAATCACACACCTGAAATCTCTGAAATAACAGCATTGGAAGTAAAGAAACAATTGCAGAAAAGTACAGAGGAAATCAGATCAGAAATAATTTCTAAGGGGCCAGGAAGATGGCTCAGTGGAATAAGCACTTCCCTGGCAAGCACAAGGACCTGAGTTCAATCCCTGGTTCTGCTTAAAAAAAAAAAAAAGAAAGGAAAAGAAAAAAAAGAAAGAAAGAAGTACTAAGTGCTTCTTTTATTTATTTATTTATTTGGTTAAGGGTCTCTGGCATGGCATGCAGTACTGGAGATCGAACCTGAGTCCTTGAACTTGCCAGGCAGGTGCTTAGACAGGCTATTGCCCCAGCCCCTTGTACTAAGTGCTTCTAAAGAACACAGTGATAAAAAATAGAGGAGAATAGAAAAATGATGGAATCCTTGAATGAGCAATATAGGAAAGAAATAGAATGCATGAAGGAGATTCAAAGTGCTATACAGGAAATTAAAACCTCAATCACAAGCTGGCAAAACCATTTAAATGAAAGCGAAAATAGACTTTCAGACCTTAAAGACACCACTGCAGCTAGTGAAAAAGAAAAGATCTCTTAAAAACAACTAGGATGCAGGAAAAATAATTGAACATCTGCAAGACGATGCAAAAACGAACAATGTAAGACTAATAGGCATCAAGGAGTCAATACAAATGATATAAAAATATGGATGGAAGTAATAGCAGAAAACTTCCCAAATATGGGGAAACAATCTGACATACTGGTAACCGAAGCATACAGAACTCCAAATAACATCAATCCAATTAAAAATACACCCAGTAGGGGGCCGGGGAGATGGCTCAGCGGAATAAGCGCTTCCCTGGCAAGCACAGGGGCCTGAGTTCAATTCCCGGTTCTGCCAAAAAATAAATAAATAAATAAATAAAATAAAAATACACCCAGTCATATAATAGTCAAGATCCCAGAAATTCAGCCCAGGAGCAGTATACTAAAAGCCGCTAAAGAAAAGAAACAGATCACATTTAAAGGAAAACCCATCAGAATAACGGCAGATTTATCTTCACAAACCATCAAGTCAAGAAGAGCATGGACCCAGTGATAGTACAACTTGAAAACCATACCTCAACAACTAATGCCCTCACTCCAAGGTGGCCAGGAAATTAGTTTATTTATTTCCTAGAGCCTGTATGAGGTTTTGTTTTTTGTAAGACAAAGCTCTTTTGATCTTAGAACTATCTTTCTGCTGTAATAAAAGAGATAATTTCATCTAAATAACTTTACTTTGTCTCCCTTACCTCTACTCTCTATGGTTTCAATTACAGTCAACTGTCATCTGTATGAAAATATTAAATGGAAAATTCCAGAAATAAACAATTTATAATTTTTCAGTTGCACACTATTTTGAATAGCACAACATGCAAAGTTTCCAAAATACTAAATGAAAAACCTAAAAGTCTATTTCTGGTCCCAAGCGCTTTGGAGAAGAGACACTGAACCTGTACTGTATTTCTGCTGCCTACCAAAGTGCCACAGAGGTCCTCAGACAGAGCGTCCATGGGACAGCCTCCTACCCTGATGTACCTGCACCTCCCTGAACACCATTTTCACTAGAGTGTGGTCCGTCCCAATACCTGCACTCTGACGCAGGTATTCGGCAAGCATCTTCTTGCAAGTAAAAGGACTGGTTATATCATTTTAGGAAAAAGAACTTTTGACATGTGAATGCAATAAAATTTGGTATTTCCCAATAGAAATTATTGTTATTCAAAAAAAAAAAGAGCATGGAGCAAAATACTACAAGTCTTGCAAAAAAACAAATCCCAACCCAGACTGATATACCCTGCAAAACTCTCTTTTGAGTATAATGGAGAAGTGAAATACTTCCATGACAAAGAACAATTAAAGAATTTCAGGGTGATTGGGGCTCCCGGCTGGGGTGCCATCTTGACCCCGGGGCTGGTGGGGAGGCCAGGAAGGGGGCCCGGGGGGGGGGGGCGGAGGGGACTACGGGAACAGCGTAGAGTCTAAGGAACTGGAGCCTGGGGAGCTGCTGCTGGAGCCCAAGTCGGAGCCGGAAGAGGAGCCGCTCTGTCTCCCCCCGCCCCACCCCCCCCAGCTCCTGACCCTGGCCCTGGTCCTGGCTCCGGAGCCGCCGGTAGCCAAGAGGAGGAGGAAGAGCCAGGGGACAGCGCCATTGAGGACCCAGAGCTGGAAGAGATAAAAGCTCGAGTCAGGGAGATGGAGGAAGAAGCTGAGAAGCTAAAGGAACTGCAGAACGTGGTCGAGAAGCAGATGAATATGAGTCCACCACCGGGCAATGCTGGCCGTGATCATGTCTATTGAAGAGAGAATGGAGGCCGATGCCCAGTCCATCTATGTTGGCAATGTGGACTATGGTGCAACAGCAGAAGAGCTAGAAGCTCATTTTCATGGCTGTGTTTCAGTTAACCGTGTCACCATACTTTGTGACAAATTTAGTGGCCATCCCAAAGGGTTTGCTTATATAGAGTTCTCAGACAAAGAATCAGTGAGGACTTCCTTGGCCTTAGATGAGTTCCTATTTAGAGGAAGACAAATCAAGGTGATCCCGAAACGGACTAACAGACCAAGGTTTCCCATGTGCCCGCTACTGTGCCCGGACCACCAACTACAACAGTTCCAGCTTTCGATTCTACAGTGGTTTTAACAGCAGGACCCAAGGTCGTGTCTACAGGCTAAGTGTGTTTTAGGAGGAGAGAGAGGAAAAAGAGGAAAGAAGGAAAAAAAAAAAGAATTAAAAAAAAAAGAAAGAAGGAAAAATAGAAGATGACCTTGATGGAAAAAAAAAATATTTTTTAAGAAAAGATATACTGTGGAAGGGGGGAGAACCCCATAACTAACTGCTGAGGAGGAACCTGCTTTGGGCAGTAGGGGGAGGCCCAGGGGCTGCTCTTACACTCTGGGGATCCACCATGGACACTTCTCAACTGTGCAAGCTGCTGCCCATGTGTCCCTGCCCTACTTCACCCCTCTGGGGGCTGCTCGAGGGTAGGTGGGCATGGGTGGTAGGTGGGTTTTTTTTACCCAGGGCTCTGGAGGACACCAAACTGTTCTGCTTGTTACTTT